ACCGAGCTAAGCATGAGCTCGGCTTATCATCCACAAATCGACGGACAGACAGAGGTGACCAATCGCACACTCGAGCAGTACCTTAGGTGCTATGTGCATCAGTTTCCAAAGGGTGGGAGAATTATTTACCTTGGGCCGAGTATTGGTATAACACCACTTACCATAGCTCGACTAAAGCAACGCCGTTCGAGTTGGTGTACGGACGTAAACCGCCGACGATCGTAAGTTACGCGATGGGGAGCGCCGTGAACGATGAGGTCGATCGGGAGTTGGTCGAGTGCGACTTGATGTTGCGCGAGCTTAAGCGGACGTTGGAGGGCTCGATCAATAGGATGAAGGCGTACCATGATGGCAAGCAGCGTGACGTGGAGTTCGAGCTCGGGGATTGGGTGTGTTTGAAGTTAAGGCCGTTTCGGCAAAGGACGGCCGCGCAAAAGGGCCGCGACCAAACTCGGAGTTCGATATTACGGGCCTTATTAAGTTTTGGCCAAGGTTGGGAAGGTGGCTTATCGACTTGAGTTGCCGGACGATTCCCATATTCATTCGGTTATACACGTCTCACAGCTCGAGCAACGACTCGGCGAGACACACGCGGCGAAGGATCGACTGCACGCGGTCGCACCGGACGGGCAGGTTATGGTGCGGCCGAGCCGCGCGATGGAGTACCGGCAAGTCAAAAAGGCTGGGAAATATTTTTGGGAGGTGCTCGTTGAATGGGAGGACTTGCCGAGTGAGGAAGCGACGTGGCAAAGTTGGGACGAGATGCGCGAGATGTTCCCCGATTTCTTCCTTGAGGACAAAGAAACACTTGAACGGGACGGGAATGATGCGGACACGGCGAGAAGGCTCAAGAACGCAACGAGTCGCGCGTGGCATGCGCGAAGGAGGCTAAGTCGTCGTGCCGGCGAGGCGCGATACGCGGATGGGCAAACGCGCTCGGAAGATGACGCGCTCGACATTACCGGGGCCAAGCGCGGGTTTGAACGCGCAAGCAACGGGATGCACGCGCGAACTTGCCTAGGCGCGCGAGGATTAGGTGACCTGCTGGACGCATGTGCGGGAATGGAAGATGAAGCCCTAGTGCTTGGGCGATTAGGAAACAAGGACTTGGAGTGCAAGCCAAGGCGTTAGATTCCCTAGTTATTTAGTTTCCTTATTGCTTTATGATATCTAGATTATTTAGGACACTTAATATTTTATTGCTTTATTAGAGTTATAGTTATATTAGGATTAGATCTAGTTGATGTCCATATAAAGGCCCTTCCTCTTGTTAATTTATCATCCAAGAAGTCAATACAAAAAACCGAACTTTTGTTCAAACACTTTGCATAGATTTTCCTGAATTCTATTGCAATTTTACTTGTTTCGAAGGACTGTGGACGCGGATCTTCGCGACCCTATCTCGATTTAAGGCACTCGCGTGGCTTGTCGAAAGTCCGAACACACGATCCTCATCACACTGGCGCACTGGGGCGCGGCGCAGCCAAACAGCGCGCGCAAGAGACGCGCTGATGCAGAAGTGGCTAGGCAGCTCAAGAACGCCGCAAGTCGCGCTTACCACGCACGCAAGAGGCTCGCACGGGAGACGGCAGAAATGCGCGCACTGGAGAGTAGTACGCGCGGAACGGGCAAAGATAGCCAGCGCACGGGTGTGCGGGCGAAAGGCGAGGACGTTGGCGAAGCACGCGGCAGCAGTACGCACGCAACGGACGTCTATCGCGCGCAGGTGAGGGACACAGTGGACGCGGGCGTGGTTGAACAGGACGCGTGGGCCGCGGTACTAGGAAGCGCGCGCGCGGAAAGCTCGCGCAACGGGGAAGCACGCGCACGCGAGTCCTCAGTCCTCGAGGAATACGGACAACCAGGCGGGACGCACTCGCGCGTTGAGGCGTCAAGCAGCGACGGCGTGCGCAACACGCCGGATGAGCGACACGCGCGCGAAAGGAGCGGTGCCCTAGTCCTCGAGGACTAGGGCGTGGACTAAGGCGGTGGTCGACTTAGGGGCGTGCATACG